CCCAAAACACACACTACAATCCATACCCACAGCCTCCACCCAACACCGAGCTATAGAATTTCCCACAGATGCCACCAGGTCTCCCCCCTCACAGGCCCCCCAAACCACAGTTTTGGAAAGGAAACTAAAGGGTATGGTACACAAACGCTGATGGAATAACAAATAAGGGGGGAGGAGTGGCATGAAAGAGTCAAAGAGCATCACCGGACATCATAGCTCTCACAGAACCAAGCTTACAGGTATGATAACAGATGCCTTTCTTTCCAACGGGATACCAAATCCTGAGGAAAGACAGGGGGAACGGGGGGTGGAGGAGTGGCGTTGCTGATCAAAAATCGCTGGAATTTTGATGAGTGGAGAGAGGAGACAGCGGAGAAGAAAGTGATTACTTTGCGGGAACACTTCACTCTGGAGGTCCCAAGGTTGGTAATAGCAGTGATGTATAACCCACCACAGAACAGCAGGAGGCCAAGGCAAGGAGTACGACGAGAGCAAAAAGCGATGGTTGACACACTGGCTAGAGTGGCCAAAAGAGCTCATGCATGCAGGGCAAAGCTCCTGATCATGGGTGACTTTAACCACAAGGGATCGATTGGGAGAACTTGGACCCACATGGGGGCCAAGATACATGGAGGGCAAAGATGATGGAGGTGGAAATGGAAAACTTCATGTGCCAACACGTAAGGGACACTACAAGAGAGAGAGGAGGGGATGAACCAGCAAGGCTGGACTTAGTAGTCACCTTGAGTAGTGCAGATATCGAGGACATCACATATGAAAGACCCCTTGGGGCCAGTGACCATGTGGTTTAAGCTTTGAATACACAGTAGAGCTACAAGTGGAGGGAGAAGCAGGAAGGCCAGGACGAATGAAGCCAAACTACAAGAAAGGGGACTACACAGGAATGAGGAACTACCTGAACGGGGTTCAGTGGGACAGAGAACTGGCAGGGAAGCCAGTTAATGAGATGATGGAATATGTAGCAACAAAATGCAAGGAGGCTGAGGAGAGGTTTGTACCCAAGGGTAACAGGATTAATGAAAAAGCCAGGATGAGCCCATGGTTTACCCAAAGGTGCAGGGAGGCAAAAACCAAGTGTGCTAGGGAATGGAAGAAATATAGAAGGCAAAGGACCCAGGAGAATAAGGAGAACAGTCGTAGAGCCAGAAACGAATATGCACAGATAAGAAGGGAGGCCCAAAGACAATATGAAAATGACATAGCAGCGAAAGCCAAATCTGACCCGAAACTGTTGTACAGCCACATCAGGAGGAAAACAACAGTCCAAGGACCAGGTAATCAGGCTAAGGAAGGAAGGAGGAGAGACAACAAGAAATGACCGTGAAGTATGTGAAGAACTCAACAAGAGATTCAAAGAAGTGTTCACAGAGGAGACAGAAGGGACTCCAGAAAGACGGAGAGGTGGGGCACACCACCAAGTGCTGGACACAGTGCACACAACCGAGGAAGAAGTGAAGAGGCTTCTGAGTGAGCTAGATACCTCAAAGGCAATGGGGCCAGATAACATCTCCCCATGGGTATTGAGAGAGGGAGCAGAGGCGCTATGTGTACCCCTAACAACAATATTCAATACATCTATCAAAACAGGGAGATTGCCTGAGGCATGGAAGACAGCAAGTGTAGTCCCAATCTTTAAAAAAGGAGACAGACACGAAGCATTAAACTACAGACCAGTGTCACTGACATGTATAGTATGCAAAATCATGGAGAAGATTATCAGGAGAAGAGTGGTGGAACACCTAGAAAGGAATGATCTCATCAACAGCAGCCAACATGGTTTCAGGGACGGGAAATCCTGTGTCACAAACCTACTGGAGTTCTATGACATGGTGACAGCAGTAAGACAAGAGAGAGAGGGGTGGGTGGATTGCATTTTCTTGGACTGCAAGAAGGCGTTTGACACAGTTCCACACAAGAGATTGGTGGAAAAACTGGAGGACCAAGCAGGGATAACAGGGAAGGCACTACAATGGATCAGGGAATACTTGTCAGGAAGACAGCAGCGAGTCATGGTACGTGGCGAGGTGTCAGAGTGGGCACCTGTGACCAGCGGGGTCCCGCAGGGGTCAGTCCTAGGACCAGTGCTGTTTCTGGTATTTGTGAACGACATGACGGAAGGAATAGACTCTGAGGTGTCCCTGTTTGCAGATGACGTGAAGTTGATGAGAAGAATTCACTCGATCGAAGACCAGGCAGAACTACAAAGGGATCTGGACAGGCTGCAGACCTGGTCCAGCAATTGGCTCCTGGAGTTCAATCCCACCAAGTGCAAAGTCATGAAGATTGGGGAAGGGCAAAGAAGGCCGCAGACGGAGTACAGTCTAGGGGGTCAGAGACTACAAACCTCACTCAAGGAAAAGATCTTGGGGTGAGTATAACACCAGGCACATCTCCTGAAGACGCACATCAACCAAATAACTGCTGCAGCATATGGGCGCCTAGCAAACCTCAGAACAGCATTCCGACATCTTAGTAAGGAATCATTCAGGACCCTGTACACCGTGTACGTTAGGCCATATTGGAGTATGCGGCACCAGTTTGGAACCCACACCTAGCCAAGCACGTGAAGAAAACTAGAGAAAGTGCAAAGGTTTGCAACAAGACTAGTCCCAGAGCTAAGAGGTATGTCCTACGAGGAGAGGTTAAGGGAAATCAACCTGACGACACTGGAAGACAGGAGAGATAGGGGGGACATGATAACGACATACAAAATACTGAGAGGAATTGACAAGGTGGACAAAGACAGGATGTTCCAGAGATTGGACACAGTAACAAGGGGACACAGTTGGAAGCTGAAGACACAGATGAATCACAGGGATGTTAGGAAGTATTTCTTCAGCCACAGAGTAGTCAGTAAGTGGAATAGTTTGGGAAGCGATGTAGTGGAGGCAGGATCCATACATAGCTTTAAGCAGAGGTATGATAAAGCTCACGGCTCAGGGAGAGTGACCTAGTAGCGATCAGTGAAGAGGCAGGGCCAGGAGCTCGGACTCGACCCCCGCAACCTCAACTAGGTGAGGTGAGTACACACGACATACACACTACATACACACACACGACATACACACACACACGACATATACACAGACATACACACAGACATCACACACACAACATACATACACAGATCACACGACATACACACTACATACAACACACACGACATACACACGACATAAAACACACGACATACATACACACACATAAAATACACACGACATACAACACACAACGATATACACACAACGACATACATACACACGACATACAAACACACGACATACACACACACGACATACACACACGACATACACACTACATACACACACACGACATACATACACACTACATACACACACACACGACATACACACGACATACATACACACGACATACACACACACACGACATACACACGACATACACACACACGACATACACACACACGACATACACACACACGACATACACACACGACATACACACACACACGACATACACACGACATACATACACACGACATACACACACACACGACATACACACTACATACACACACACTACATACACACACACGACATACACACACACGACATACACACGACATACACACACACGACATACACACACACGACATACACACACACGACATACACACACACGACATACACACACACGACATACACACACACGACATACACACGACATACACACGACATAAAAACAAAGAATCATTCAAGACACTGTACACCGTGTACGTCAGGCCCTTATTGGAGTATGCAGCACCAGTGTGGAACCCACACCTGGTCAAGCACGTCAAGAGATTATAGAAAGTGAACAAGTTTGCAACAGAACTAGTCCCGGAGCTAACGGGCTTGAGAAGTTTAGGGAACTCAACCTGACAGTCTTCAAGCAAATCTATTTTAACAATATTTTTCGTTTATTAATGAGTGTGATTATAGTTGAACTATAATTTATGTTCGTAATCCAATGTTGACTTTTAACATGCACTCAAGAAATTAATATTTTGGACAAGCTAAAGAGAAAATATTATTTACTGTTTTATTCATAATTATATATATATATATATATATATATATATATATATATATATATATATATATATATATATATATATATATATACACACACAATAATATGACAGTAAACAGGTGATATCACAGTATGCAGAACAACCACTGTGAAAAAATAGCAAAATTCCAAGCTCTTTCGTGATTTCTCACATTATCGAGGAACTGTAATGGATCAAGCACGTCAAGAAATTACAGGTCGTTGCTAATGTGAGAAATCACAAAAGCACTTGGAAGTTTACTATTTTTTCACAGTGGTTGTTCTGTATACTTTGATATCAACTGTTTACTGTGATCTTATTGTATAAATATGTATATAAGATAAATTAATGCAGATTTCTTCTGGAATCTATGGAAAAAAAAATAGTAGCTGGTAAATACCATTAAACTATCGTCTGGTAGCAGGAGCTACAGAGACTCCGCTGTTAGGCTAGCGCAGAGCAGAACCTCACCAGGAAGAGTGGCTGGGTCATCTGACCTACTGTGTTTCCTTCAGTCAGTCTGGGGATAAGAAAGAGTAATCCCACCGCTGCCACCAGTTTACCAGTGTTATCAACAATATTACTTGTCAAGTATATATGTCCTAGCAGTATTTATAGACAGGCTCTCTGGCCAAGCCTTAAGTCATGTGACCCCCATTTAAACCGACACAGCTAGGCCGTAGCTCTCTCCCTCATTCTCGTACAGGCTTACAGACAGGTGGGGCTCTGTCACGATTTCCAAATCAACGCCTCCATAACAGACAACAGTCATTTCCTTTGCTACCTTCGCTCCTCCCTAACGAGTAACATAACAGTGTCAGCTGGTGGAATTAATCTTTCTGTTTCTCCTAACTTAAGCTGACTGTGCTAAACACTAACAGTGGGTGACCAGGGGCTGTGCACTTACCCTCGCTGCCCTTGGTGTTGGGACGACCACGACTGTCCCCTGGTGTACCACCAGGGGAGCCTGCGCCTTCTGTGTCATCCTCGTTCAGTAGGTGTGGGTTACGGTAGTAGTCATCTGGTGTGTAGCCAGACTGCAACATACACAAACAGATCTTTTACAGTTTGCATCTTGGTCGTGAAATATTCCAGTTAGGGCATTGTCACCTGTATTCTTGTGCACAATTCATGGCAGTAAAATTAATAAGCTGGTTCGGAAAACTTTTTTTCTTAACCTTAAATTTTGCTAACTCCTTGGGTTTTCCCAGTTACCCCCACCCAAGGGTCTGCGGCCCCCAAACTGAGAACCACCAGGCCAGACCTCTAATGTTCCCTGCAGCCGGAAATTATTGGATTTTATGGAGACAGAGTTACTATCAACATTGTAGTTTTTTTCACGAGGGAGAGCTGGAACTCTTAAGTAGTTTTATGTTTAGTTTTTGTCACAGAAGACTCCTACCCCCTCATCCTTACCTATCTTTCCCTATCCACTCCCATCCTTATCTTTCTATCCCATATGGTTTTAAAAACGTATCTAAAGATATGGCTGGATTACATAAGTTATTGCTGAATTTAGCAAGTAAAGCCTGGATTGAACCAGAAAAATTTAATTAAATTAATTGTAGTCGTGGTTCTATAGCAGTACTCGTGGTGGTAGTAAGGTAGTCGTGGTAGTCGTAATACTCGTAGATGTGGTGGTAGTAGTGTAGTAGTATTACACTCTGTATATGTTAAACCCATGAAGTTCGTTCACTGAGTGTAGGAGTGGATGGAGGCTTGATCCTCTGTCTGGTAATCGAGAGAGTGAACAGCGTCGTGATATTTACCTTATCTTTGATCTGATGATCAGCACCAGCGTTGAGGAGTGTGTGGTAGGTGTGGGACTCATCCTTGAGTGTGGCAGCGTAGTGTAATGGCGTCCTCCCGGAGATGTCCCGTTGGTCCATCAGCTCAGGGTGTTTCTCACTCAGATATTCAGCCAGATCTGTCGAGGTGGTGTTACTGTGTGTTAATATTAGTAAGACGTCTGTGACCCGTGTGGGTCACTGCTGCAGCGACCACCACTGTGGGCCACGGCAGCAGTGACTACCACTGGGTTGTTCGTGCTGTACTCACTAGCCTGAGTGTGTTAGGTTATTTAGATGCAGGTACACATAAATACACTTACAGACATGATAATTTTTGTAAGTGTATTTATGTATGATAATTATCATACATAAGTAACCTGTGTAAGTTACTTAGGATAACCAAAAAAAGTCAGGTGTTATCACATGTGCTGGAGAGTGTTATATCATGTATAAGAAGTTAGACTTTTCTTATGAGTAGTGTTAGGAAAGTGTTTTGACTGATGTTAACTACCAGAAAACAGGTGTTAGAAGCTCTGTTGTTGGGATGTAAGACCTGTAAGTCCTCGTCCGGAATTAACACATAGTGTTCCTAACCTCTTGTGCGCTATAATTAAATTCTAATTACATGAATATAATTTGTCTTCGCTACCTCTTCAAAGAGGCTGGTTTCCGTTTTCAGTTTTCATGTTGAGCAGAAGTAAATTTGTCACGTCCCTGTGAATCATCTTGGTGCTATGATACTATCTATGTTGTCTTGTCATAGTTCCTTCCACTTTATACTTTGTTTATCTTTGTCCTGAATGCTCTATGAGTGCCTTTAATGTTGTGGTCCTATCCCTTCTGATTATTGTATACCAGTGTGTGTGTGTGTGTGTGTGTGTGTGCCTGTGTGTACTCACCTAATTCACCTAATTGTGGTTGCAGGGGTCGAGACTTAGCTCCTGGCCCCGCCTCTTCACTGATCGCTACTGGATCCTCCCTCTCTCTGCTTCCTGAGCTTTGTCATACCTCTTCTTAAAACTATGTATGGTTCCTGCCTCCACTACTTCACTTGCTAGGCTATTCCACTTGCTGACAACTCTATGACTGAAGAAATACTTCCTAACGTCCCTGTGACTCGTCTGAGTCTTCAGCTTCCAGTTGTGACCCCTTGTCCCTGTGTCCCCTCTGTGTGTGTGTGTGCCTGTGTGTGTGTGTGTGCCTGAGTGTGTGTGTGTGTGTGTGCCTGAGTGTGTGTGTGTGTGCCTGTGTGTGTGTGTGTTGTGTGTGTGTGTGTGTGTGTGTGTGTGTGTGTGTGTGTGTGTGTGTGTGTGCCTGTGTGTGTTAAACATCAGTTAATATATAAACTTTCATTTCTTCAATTATTATGGAATATTATTCACTTGTACTCCAGGATTATCAATTACTATCTGTGACCGCTCAACCACCATCTGATGATTGACCTTATACCCCCCCCCTCCCTGACCTGCGTGTCCGTTGATGGCAGCCTTGTGGAGGATATTAGCATTGTTAGTGTCTCTGGAGAGAGCTTTGTGTTTACTATCCAGGTGACTCTTGACTGTCCTCGTGTCTCCCTCTTCTGCCGCTGTGTGTAATTCATTGATGGAATCCTGCGTGAGAGGAACACAGTGAAGTTAGTAATGAGGGAAACTAATTATCTGTTAAAAGTAAGGAGTGTAACTGTTAGCACAGGAATACAGAGACAGACTCTGCTGTTGCTGTATCAAAATTTTGGAGTTCTGCTTTAGTTCAGGTTAGATTTGTTAAAATATTTACGAATTTGTATATCTGTATATCCTAATTTGCATATACTGAAAGATATTCATTGATAGATATTCACCTTTCGGTGCATATATACCGAGAAATATACATCTCTATCAGTATAAACATTGAGATAAACACTGAGATGTTTATATGTATGTTTATACGTTAAACTACTGGTCCAGTGGCTAACGCGACGGTCGGGAGTTTCGAGACTCTCAGATCGCGGGTTCTATCCCCGCCCGGGGTATGGTTTGTTTGCAATCGTGTCATTACGATTTCGTGAGTCATGTTTATATGTTATCACTTGGTGAAAACATAATTCGTAACAATTGATAATAGAATCATAACTTGCCTAGCAAAATAAAATGGGTTATTACCTTACGGGTTTAGTGATTCCACGTAATTGTAATAAGTTGAAACGTTTCTATCTTATTTGACTGTATAGAAAAATATTTGAAATATTTTTTAACGTTATATAATATATATATATATATATATATATATATATATATATATATATATATATATATATATATATATATATATATATACTATATATGTTTGTGTGTGTGTTTTATATATGCTGAGAAAAATCGTAAAAACTTTCGTTTACATAATTATAAAAACAACTTTTAAAAGTCTTCCATTTTTCTATTCCGTGTAGAGCTTAAGTTTTGACAAATCTTTACACAGAGCAAAACGTTATCCCGGTAAGTACGTTAAAACCATACAAACGAAATTTCATTACAATAAAAGCTTATTTTACATCGTGTGTGCTTGTGTTCATGTGGCAATGTCTTACCAGATGGTCTGGGACGCTGTCCAAAAAGTCTTGGACGTCAGGATCTTTGGAGGAGCGTCCTACAAGCATGTCCCCGTCACCACGAGTGATCAGGTGGTTAAGGTGACCGTAGTCTTGATGCTTCTCTGCCGCTTTGATGGCTGCATGTGCTTCATCTTCCTCGTCACCCTCAGGACTAGGGGCCCTAGACCCGGCCCTAGACCCGGCTCTAGACCCGGCCCTAGACCCGGCCCTAGACCCGGCCCTAGATGGAGCTTGAGACATAGAGGGCTGGTGGAAGCTATTTCTAGAGGGCTCCCTCGATGGGGGTTTAGATTGCTCCCTGGATGGGGCTCTTGAATGCTCCCTAGATGGTGCTCTTGATTGTTCCTTGGATGGGGCTCTTGATTGCTCCTTGGATGGACTCTTGGCTGAGTCCAAGGAAGGTCCACTGGTCAGATTCTTTGAGGTTTTCTTGGACGGTCCTTTGCCATGATTCTTGGTATGTTTATTTGTGGTGCCTTTAAGTTGGCCCTTTTGCTTTTTGGTCATGTACTCAGCCGGGGAGAAACCATTCTGCGGGGAGATAAGACGCGTCATCCAAGGTCTTTAGAACCAGTAAAAATTAATAAAAATGATAAGATGGTTAGGTGGAGAGTAAATATACGAAGATAAAGGATGACGATGGATGTGGCTGGGGTGAACAGGAAATAGCGTGGATAATTTAGATAAGTAAATGTCAGGAAAACGAAGTTCGCTGCAGGAAATGGAAAGTGAAAATTGTCTGAAGGTATATGGCAGAAAATGGTATAGTTATAGCTTTAGTGGAGTAGTAGAAAACGGAATTAAGACAGAAAACGGAATTAATGAAGTAGAATGAGAGTAATATAATAGAAAATCGGGGACTCAAAATAAATGACAGACCAGAAAGCCATTTATCAGAAAAAGCAAAAAAAATTCATTGCTCGTCAGTAAACAGAAGTATTTAACTGTAACTTCAAAAAAAAAAAAATGAAAATGTATTTAAATTACATAGGCAAAACAACTAAATGTTTTAATTGCAACACAATAACAGTGATTTATTATTATGATTTAATCTTAAATTTATTAACCAGGGATGCCAAGCCCATGATGACACTCTTCAGGTCGCTTGTTCTATCCTGGCTGGAATATTGCTGCACACTAACACCACCTTGCGAGGCAGGTGAACTGCTGACCTGCACAATATACACAGAACCTTTACGGCGCACACAACTGCGATAAAACACCTCAATTACTGGGAACGCTTGAAGTTCCTCAACTTGTACTCCCTAGAAGCAGGCGGGAGAGATACATGATTATTTACACTTGGAAAATCCTAGAGGGAATAGTACCCAACTTGCACACGAAAGTCACTCCAGACTCGGCAGACGATGCAGTATCCCTGCAATGAAACACAGGGGCGCCACTAGCATGATAAGAGACAATACAATAAGTGTCAGGGCCCCAAGACTGTTCAGCTGCCTCCCAGCATACGTAAGGGGGATTACCAATAGACCCCTGGCTGTCTTCAAGAAGGTGGTGGACAGGCACCCAAAGTCAGTACCTGACCAGCCGGACTGTGGTCAGTACGTCGGGTTGCGTGTGGCCAACAGTAACAGCCTGGTTGATCAAACCCTGATCCACCATGAGACCTGGTCACAGACCGGGCCGCGGGGGCGTTGACCCCCGGAACCGGCTCCAGGTAAGTGTCACTCGGAGGCACTTACCAGATCCTGAATGCCGTCACTGGCACCTTCCCTCTTGAGTAGGTCGTAAGTCTGCCTCGCGCCAAGCTCCTTGGAGAGGGCAGCGTAGTGTAGTGGCGTCCTCCCATTCTGTGGGCACAGGGTCAAAAAAGGTCACGGTGGGCAGGCACAGGATCAAGAGAGGTCAGAGGTGGAAAGTCACATTAGCTAGAGAAAGATGGCAGGAATATGCAGATGGGATTACGAATGGACCTATCTACTGTAATATTGAACCGCTTATCCTCCCACCTATCCACTCGCCTATGATCCAACCCATCAATTCTGTTGCCCATAGGCCCACCCACCTATCCATTAAATTGGGCATCACTCAGATGACTGTCATCCATCCCTATACACATCTGTCTCATCATCTGTCCATACTCTGAAGGGGTTTCTTGAGGATAGTCAGTTGCTCAAGTTATCCTCCGCTTCCTCGGATCAAATCTGATTAACTCTGCTTCCCAGGTGCTCCATGACCACTAAAAACGTAGTGCTTCCTCCTGTCAATATTATAATTATAATAGTAATAATTATGTTTTATTATTATTATTATTATTATTATTATTATTATTATTATTATTATTATTATTATTATTATTATTATGAGCCCTTGTACCTAGCCGTTCACTTACACAACATACTTACATTATCCTCGACGTGCATTCCGTCAGGATAGAGATTGATCAAATGTCTGACGAGTTGAGTACTGCCAGCCCCTGCGGCTTGATGCAGAGGCACAGAGCCATCCTTCCCTCTAGCCATGGCTAGGTGGTCGTTCTCCTTGAGCAGGTGCTTGGCTACCTTGGCGTCACCTTTGGCAGCCGCCTCGTGTAAGGCGCTGGTCTTATCCTACCAGTGAAAGGATAGATGGTTAATTGAGTCTGAAGTTTATTGAGTATGCGAGGGTCGTTAAGACTGTCACCTGTCCACTACCAGTCACCACAGGAGGGTTATTAACTATAAGTTACCTGTACATTAAGTGTCAGGGGCCCAAGATTGTTCAGCTGCCTTCTAGCATACATAAGGGGAGTTACCAATAGACCCCTGGCTGTCTTCAAGAAGGCGCTGGACAGGCACCTAAAGTCCATTCCTGACCAGCCAGGCTGTGCCTCGTACGTCGGTTTACGTGTGGTCAGCAGTAACAGCCTGGTTGATCAGGCCCTGATCCACCACGAGGCCTGGTCAGGGACCGGGCCGCGGGGGCGTTGACTCCCGAAACCCTCTCCAGGTATACATGAGGGTTATTAAGACAAACCTGTACACTACCAGTCACTACACGATTGTCATTAAGATGACATGGTACCTGTTCACCGCCAGTCAAGGTTTAAAGCCTATCGGCTACACGAAAGTGACTATTCATACACTGTTATATATATATATATATATATATATATATGTTATATATATATAATGTCGTGCCGAATAGGTAAAATTGGTCAGTTAGCAAGAACTCGTTTAAAATTAAGTCTTTTCAAAAATTTTCTTTCACACGTTTGAAGATATATTTCTTTCATTTATATTAATGTAAAAATTAATAATTTTGTTCCAAAAGAACAATAGAAAACCTACCTAACCTTATTATAACAAGCGCAATTTAATTCAGCCTAATCCAACTAAATATATTTTAGATAAGTTTACAATAATTTAATAATATGCAAGCACGATGAAGTATATTTTTTTTCGTTAGGTTCAGAATGATTTTTGCGAAATTATTGCATACACAAATTTGTGCAAGCGAAAATTTGTGTATGCAATAATTTCGCAAAAATCATTCTGAACGTAGCGATAAAAAAAATATATTTCATCATTATAAGTTAGGTTAGGTAAGGTTCGTCAGGAAACAGGACAAGTGTTTCCTGATGCGGGTCTTAGTCAGATGATGAGCCGCCATTGGTGCTTTTGGTCATCTGACCTAGGCCTTCCGCTGGCTTACCGTTCCACTCCTATAAAAAAAATTTGTTTTAGTTATCATTTTAAGTTGGTAAGAGACAAGTGGAAGTTGATAAATTAAAGGAAACTGGGTAAGATATAAGCAACTGTTGGGAGAATAATGAGCTAGTGAGAGTATAGATATAATGAGGTTGAAGAGTTATGGGGTAGAGACGTAAGAATGTTATATTAATGTGTTCAGTAGAAGTTTGTGGGTCTAGGAGGGTGGGTGCAGGAGGGAAGTAGAGCGATTGATGGAATGATGAGTTAGTATATAGAGGGTGGAGTATATGGAGTGTAAAAGAAGAGCTTAAATAAGTGGCGAGTGAGTGAACAAGGCGAGTCAGTGAGATAAATGGTGAGGATTTAAAATCAAAATTTGCTGAGAATAAGGTAATGATCTGGTGAGAGATTACTAACTTAAGAAAGATACTGTGACTGCTTTGTATTATCTCCCACACCACTGGAACTTCCACATCATCTTCCACATCACTACAACCTTCACATCTCCCACACCACTACAACCTTCACATCTCCCACACCACTATAACCTTCACATCTCCCATACCACTACAACCTTCACATCTCCCACACCACTACAACCTTCACATCATCTCCCACACCACTACAACCTTCACATCATCTCCCACACCACTACAACCTTCACATTTCCCACACCACTACAACCTTCACATTTCCCACACCACTACAACCTTCACATCATCTCCCACATCACTACAACCTTCACATTTCCCACACTACAACCTTCACATTCCCACACCACTACAACCTTCACATCTCCCACACCACTACAACCTTCACATCTCCCACACCACTACAACCTTCACATCTCCCACACCACTACAACCTTCACCATCTCCCACACCACTACAACCTTCACATTTCCCACACCACTACAACCTTCACATTTCCCACACCACTACAACCTTCACATTTCCCACACCACTACAACCTTCATATCATCTCTCACACCACTCCACAACAACTTCCACATCTCCCACACCACTACAACCTTCACATCATCTCTCACACCACTACAACCTTCATCATCTCCCACACTCAACCTTCACATCATCTCCCACACCACTACAACCTTCACATCATCTCTCACAACCACTACAACCTTCATCATCTCCCACACTACAACCTTCACATCTCTCCCACACCACTACAACCTTCACATTTCCCACACCACTACAACCTTCACATCATCTCTCACACACCACTACAACCTTCACATCATCTCTCCACACCACTACAACCTTCACATCATCTCTCACACCACTACAACCTTCACATCATCACTCACACCACTACAACCTTCAACTCATCTCTCACACCCACTACAACCTTATCATCTCCCACACTACAACCTTCATCTCATACACTACAACCTTCATCTCCCCACTACACCTCATCTCCCACACTACAACCTTCAATCTCCCACACTACAACCTTCATCATCTCCCAAACCACTACAACCTTCATCATCTCCCAAACCACTACAACCTTCACATTATCTCCCACACCACTACAACCTTCATCTCCCACACCACTACAACCTTCATCTCCCACACTACAACCTTCATCATCTCCCACACTACTACAACCTTCATCATCTCCCACACTACTACAACCTTCACATTATCTCCCACACCACTACAACTTTCACATCTTCCACATCACTACAACATCCACATCATCTTCCACATCCCCCACAGCCCTTCAACTTCCACATTATCCTCACATCCCAACAGCTCAAATTTGCCACATCGTATAGTTCCATATTTAGACAACATTCGTAATATTTAAAATATTTGAGTTTACCCCCAGAAGACTCGCTACAGAGTTAAGGAGAAACTCATCTTAAAGTAGCCATGTATTCCTTGTCATTGTTTATTTCAAATTAATCATTATATTTGTATTGAAATCAGGTATAATGCAAATAGCTATATTTAGTAACGATCTAAGGAAAATACTTCTCCGAGAAGAATGTGTTTCTTGTGATCAATATTACTGTACCACCAGTGATCAATATTACTGTACCACCAGTGATCAATATTGCTGTACCACAAGTGATCAGTATTACTGTACCACCAGTGATCAGTGTTTTTTTTTAGAGAGCCTGAGCTTGCTATCACCTGCAGCTCATAAGACTGCCATCCTCACGAGCCTCTTTGGGGCGGGGCAGATGGCAGACCAGAGGCCTAGCTTCTCCCTACGAGCCCCGTGAGGGCGGGGACTGTGGCTAGGCTTGGGGACACTTGGTCCCAAAGATGAGGGGGTACTTGTACCTCCTCCCATGGGAGACTTAGGTCTCGAGATTCTCCCCAGATAGGGAGCCAAGGCCGGGTCACCACTACTTGGAAAAGACCCGGGCCGGGAGAATACCGGCGAATAAAAAAAAAACTATTACCAGTGATAAATATTACTGTACCAACAGTGATCAATGTTACTGTACCACCAGTGATCAATATTACTGTACCAACAGTGATCAATATTACTGTACCAACAGTGATCAATATTACTGTACCAACAGTGATCAATATTACTGTACCAACAGTGATCAATATTACTGTACCAACAGTGATCAATATTACTGTATCACCAGCGATCAATATTACTGTACCAACAGTGATCAATATTACTGTACCAACAGTGATCAATATTACTGTACCAACAGTGATCAATATTACTGTACCAACAGTGATCAATATTACTGTACCAACAGTGATCAATATTACTGTACCAACAGTGATCAATATTACTGTACCAACAGTGATCAATATTACTGTACCAACAGTGATCAATATTACTGTACCAACAGTGATCAATATTACTGTACCAACAGTGATCAATATTACTGTACCAACAGTGATCAATATTACTGTACCACCAGTGATCAATATTACTGTACCACCAGTGATCAATATTACTGTACCACCAGTGATCAATATTACTGTACCACCAGTGATCAATATTACTGTACAACCAGTGATCAATATTACTGTACAACCAGTGATCAATATTACTGTACAACCAGTGATCAATATTACTGTACCACCAGTGATCAGTATTACTGTACCACCAGTGATCAGCATTACTGTACCACAAGTAATCAATATTACTGTACCACCAGTGATCAGTATTACTGTACCACAAGTGATCAATATTACTGTACCACAAGTGATCAGCATTACTGTACCACAAGTAATCAATATTACTGTACCACCAGTGATCAATATTACTGTACCACCAGTGATCAGTATTACTGTACCACAAGTAATCAATATTACTGTACCACCAGTGATCAGTATTACTGTACCACAAGTGATCAAATTACTGTACCACAAGTGATCAGCATTACTGTACCACAAGTAATCAATATTACTGTACCACCAGTGATCAATATTACTGTACCACCAGTGATCAGTATTACTGTACCACAAGTAATCAATATTACTGTACCACCAGTGATCAGTATTACTGTACCACCAGTGATCAATATTACTGTACCACAAGTGATCAATATTACTGTACCACCAGTGATCAGTATTACTGTACCACCAGTGATCAGCATTACTGTACCACAAGTAATCAATATTACTGTACCACCAGTGATCAGTATTACTGTACCACAAGTGATCAATATTACTGTACCACAAGTGATCAGCATTACTGTACCACAAGTAATCAATATTACTGTACCACCATGTGATCAGTATTACTGTACACCAGTGATCAGTATTACGTACCACAAGTAATCAATATTACTGTACCACCAGTGATCAGTATTACTGTACCACAAGTGTCATTATTACATGTACCACAAGTGATCAGCATTACTGTACCACAAGTAATCAATATTACTGTACCACCAGTGATCAATTTACTGTACCACCAGTGATCAGTATTACTGTACCACAAGTAATCAATATTACTGTACCACCAGTGATCAGTATTACTGTACCACCAGTGATCAATATTACTGTACCACCAGTGATCAGCATTACTGTACCACCAGTGATCAATATTACTGTACCACCAGTGATCAATATTACTGTACCACCAGTGATCAGCATTACTGTACCACCAGTGATCAGCATTACTGTACCACAAGTGATCAATATTACTGTACCACCAGTGATCAGCATCACTGTACCACAAGTGATCAATATTACTGTACCACAAGTGATCAATATTACTGTACCACCAGTGATCAATATTACTGTACCACCAGTGATCAGCATTACTGTACCACCAGTGATCAGCATTACTGTACCACCAGTGATCAATATTACTGTACAACCAGTGATCAATATTACTGTACCACAAGTGATCAGCATCACTGTACCACCAAGTGATAAATATTGCTTGTTTATAAGACATGTTTATGTATTGTAGCCATGTATAAACGTAAGTCAGTAACTTTACTTACAGGATTCATTACCTTTCTAACTTGTGAGTACATTACCTTTGTACCTAGTTCAGCTATCAAAACTTTGGGGGCCCAGTTCTTGGACCCATTATGTACCTCTGTAATCTGTAAATACCATTGTAACTTGTCATGATTGTGACCAGATCTACCTGGAGTTCATTACCTTTGTAACTCGCTAAGCTATCAAAACTTTGGGGCCGAGTCCTTGGACCCATTATGTAACTCTGTAATCTTTTGACTACCACCCACAGGATGGGTATGGGGTGCATGAACATATTAAACTAACTAAACTATGTATTCCTAAGAGTCATTTCAGGATTGATATTACAATGTGTCGTCTTTATTTGCATTAAAAATAATATATGCAACTATGATACATGTTATTTTAAGTGTGGTGTAAAAATACCAAAGTTCCCTATCAGGGCAGGCCCTGGTTCATGCGAAACATTTACCAACATTTATCTCAGACCAGAGAAGGGTCGAACCTACGAAATTTGGGGCAAGGTATGTAGTACTCTCCACAACATGCCAGACACCCCTACTTCAGAGGACGTCAGGAGCAAGCAGTCGTGTTGGGAGTGCCCTGACTGAACCAACGTTTCCAGCAAGAGCAAATTACCCAGTCAGTTGAGTGGCCAGGTTGGCAGTTACTACCCAGCTCATTCATGGCCCTGGAGTCATTACCCCAGACCTAGTTAGGCATGATGGTATATCAGTCATTTGGCTGAATATTTGTGAACCAGTCTGGTTTTATGAGAAACCGGTGCTCAGAGTAGTAGAGTTGTGGAGGCTGGGTTGCTAGATCCGTATTGAGCTGCTGGAAGATCCGTTATTGGATAGGATTCTGGAAGTCTTAAAACGACCTTTTATCTGGTGACACTGTAGCCAGGAATCTTCTTCAGGGACCTGTGGACCTTATATAAGGACTCCTCGGCAGGTGTGAGTGGTTCCCTGCCAGCTCTAGGTACTCACCATGTAGTTAGGGACCTTCTTGATGAACCTGCGAACCTCCTCATTCCAGGAGGGCCTTCCTAGCAGGTCTGAGCCGCGGTGTGCCAGCACTAGGTACTCCAGGCTCTCCAGGTCACCATCACGGATGAAGTGCTCGATTTCAGAGTCCATAACGTCCTTCAGGTCTTTGTACACCATCTGGCAGGGCGAAAGTACACGTGTACATGTATAGGCTGATGTCTTGGAGTGTAGATTGGCTTGAGCACATGCAAAAGCACTTGTGATAGTGCTTCAGGTCTTTGCACTACAACAGTTTGACTTTACGCAAGCAGTACTTTGTTTTTATTAGACGAAACTGGATCCTAACGAAAGCATCATGTACAAGCAAGACTGAATTCATGTCCTTGTACTAGTAATTACTAAGCACTATAGCGTACGTTGTGTACATATACGTCTTTGTGTACCTCTACTTCATACAGCTGTTCTTCTATATACTAACACAGCATAAACAACTACACAGATAGCATTGCTTCTAACTAGTATTAGATCTAAATGCAAGCTTTATTTGGCCCTAAGTGTCAACACTCATTTTCTGGCCAGTGATATTAAACCGATTTCAGGGTAAGTTTATGGTGCTGTTTCCGAATGTCATCTGTTTTGCTTGATTGGCTCTAGTTTTTGATAAATTTGGCATCCCATTGAAAATTGTAAAATATGTGAAAAATATATTGATCAGGTGGAGATCAGGATGACTACAGGAAGATTTGCTTTCCTAATCAAGGCTTAGGATAAATTAGACTGATGCAGGACAATTCAGGATGATCCAGAATGACCCTGAAAGACCTGAAATAATCTATGATGAACAGGATTAACCCGAAACAGCACTGACTTGAATGATTCAGGGTTGGAAATGGCCTACCTTGTTACCCTTCTCCCTTAACCTGGCCGGCGTGGAATCCTTCCTCCCTCTTCTGGAGTCATCACCCACGGAGTTTTTACGTGATCTGTTGGGAACGAGAGGCAGACAGATGAAGTGTAATGTGAGAACATCACTTCAAGGCTGTTCACGTATTTCAGTGAATTTCTACTGAACCTTGAGTGAAATGCTTGACTTCATCTTCAAAATTTCTACTGTGCTTGAATATGCTGTTAATCATTATATTAACAGCTTGACAGAGCTCTTGGAGAGCAAAACTTTGCCACAATACAGTGTCACATTAGTTGCGTCTATGTCCATTTACCTAACATTATTTGGTATAATCAGTAGAATGCTTGACTGCATCTCCTTACTGGCAGATTTCATTGTCTGTTATTAGGCAGTGCATCCTGGTAATGGAAAATAACAGGGACAACATAGCCTGTATTCCCGCAATGTAGCTGTCATAGAGGATAAGATAGAAACACTATACATGTGAACCAAATATGTAACTATCATGCAGAATAGTGGAACAGCGCACTGCAGGTGCTTCCACTATTTAGTAACTATATAGAATAGCCTCGTAACACACTACCCTTGTTTAGTAAAACAAATTTGCTTCTCTGGGATGATGTGAGCTTACCTGGCGTTCCTGGATGGGGCTCTGGAGGTGGGATTTGAGGGCCCCCTTGAGTGACCCGAAGGAATGTCAAGGGTGGATCCCCCGGCCCTGGGGGCGGCGAGGGACTCGTAGATGATGCTCAGGTCCAGTTCCCCAGGCTTGTAGCGGTAGTGTTCTGCCGTCTTGCCATACTACGAGAGAGACGGAAGGTTAGTGGACGTACAGGAATACCGGCAGTTATAAAGAGACAGTATGCAAAAAATACCATTTATCGGGATTGTGTTTAGCTCTGTGTAGAACTTTATAAAATTGAGTTTTCATGGCCAAAGGGAAGGTAGTAGGGTTACGTTAATACCACCTATTACACACCCATCACACACCTATGCCACATACACCACCAATCACCCACCACACCCCATAATACCCACCTTATCAGTATGTGTAGGATCAGAACCACTCTTCAGAAGGAAGGCGTAAACATCTCCTCCATCCTTGGCCACGGCACCATAGAAGAGTGGAGTCCTTCCTTTCCTATCCTGCGCTGAAACTGTCGTAGGACTCTTCTCCACTATCCACTCCACCACCTCCATGTTACCCAGAGCTGCAGCCTGTGGGGGGCAATGGAGAGGCTAGGATATGGGCCCTTGTTTTAACTGAGATCCTAAGACATTGGATTATGTTTTAACATAGGTGGTAAGAATAAGATATATGTCCATGTCTCAACAAAGGTACTAAGATAGGATCTTCATCCCATCAAAAGGATAAGATATAGGCTCATGTCACAACAAGGGTACCGAGAAACCTTTGATATAGGCCCATGTCTCAACAAAGGTGCTAAAATATCAGAATTTTGTCTCAAAGAACGGGGAAGTGTTGGGGATTTCATAGGCAGGATCTGGGGTCAAAATTTAATCCAAAGTGGGTGTTAGGAGCAGAGGTGAAAAGTGAAGACAAGGGGCAAAAGGAAAATAATATGATACGACTCGACTCACGAAATCGTATTGGTACGATTGCAAATAAACCATACCACGGGTGGGGTTTGAACCCGCGGTCAGTCTCAAAACTCCAGACCGTCACGTTAGCCACTGGGCCAGCTAGCTTCCATAAGATTCATCCAACTAGGTATATTTCTAGGGCACGACTCAGGAAAATTAAACTAATGTTTTGCCATTATGTCTAAGACTCTACACTGATTGAACATAAATGACATAACGTGTTTCAGAGAACATTTTTAAGGTATTACGTATTATAAAATTATATTAGATTTTATAGAGCATTTAGATACTCAGATCCAGTAAGAAAATATAGAATACATAATCTCTGCGCTGTGCTTGATAATAAGGAAAATAAGAGGAACATATTAAGAGAATTTGATACCTTATGTAGAGGGTTGAGTCCGTTCTGGTCCTTGGCAGTAAGAATTTCCGGTTGCTCAACCTTAGCGTCAAGAGTCTCCATGTCACCGTTGAGGGCGGCTTGATGTACCTCCTTGATCTTGGTCTGTTGGTACACGAGAACACAGTTCAGGGCACCTTGTTCTGTTTTTCCATGTGTGTTTGAATTTCTCAGTTTGGGTGTTATAATCTTGTTATTGTGTGATGAATGGTTTAGAAAACCGACAAGTTGAAGAATTGAGACACTTATGCAACACGTGGGAATCTTTATTGAAGAAACGTTTCGCCACACAGTGGCTTCATCAGTCCAATACAAAGTAGAAATAGGTAAGGAGAGGAGAAGTTTGAGGTAATCAGTCCCTCAACCTGGAATCGATGTGTTCAGTCCATCACTCTTGTAGGAAGTGCAGCATAGGGCCAGAGAGGTGGCTTATATACTGCAGTCAGATGAGTTGAAGCAGGTGGAGGCGGGATCACAGTGGGACCTGCCACTAGTGTAAGTAGGTCGTCGTCCAAAGTGGCAGACACTGCAACATCATGGGATCTTGGTACAAAGACTTCAACGCTTGCCCAACCTTTGGACGACGACCTACTTACACTAGTGGCAGGTCCCACTGTGATCCCGCCTCCACCTGCTTCAACTCATCTGACTGCAGTATATAAGCCACCTCTCTGGCCCTATGCTGCACTTCCTACAAGAGTGATGGACTGAACACATCGATTCCAGGTTGAGGGACTGATTACCTCAAACTTCTCCTCTCCTTACCTATTTCTACTTTGTATTGGACTGATGAAGCCACTGTGTGGCGAAACGTTTCTTCAATAAAGATTCCCACGTGTTGCATAAGTGTCTCAATTCCATAATCTTGTTATTATGTATGACGGCTTTGTGCTTGGACTGCTGTCTGGCTAATTGTGGTTCTCTCTCTCTCTCCTGGGTATTCAGGCTCTCTGACATTCACTCTCTCTCTCTCTCTCTCTCTGGCATTTGCTGTCTCTCTCTCTCTCTCTCTCTCTCTCTCTCTCTCTCTCTCTTCTCTCTCTCTCTCTCTCTCTCTCTTCTCTCTCTCTCTCTCTCTCTCTCTCTCTCTCTCTCTCTTGTACACACACACACACACACACAGGCGGAATCAGGAGCTTAGTCTCGACCCCTGCAACCACAAATAGGCGAGTACACACACCGTCTTACCATCATTCTGGGCACGAGGTTGAGAAACTGCCTGACTTTAGCGTGGTTACTGGTCTCCTGAAGGAGTCTGTTGCCTTCACCCTCCCACACAATCTGCTCCAGGTGTGGCAGGTCCTGGTCATGAATCCAGATGCGGATGTTCGCACCAGTGATATTCATCCCTGAAATGAACACTACCACCACTGTAACTTGTCTCGAAAGTAAAAAAAAATGAAAACTGGAAGATTCTTCGGTATTTACTAGACTAACTTATCTCAAAAGTAAACAATGAAAACGAAGATTCTTCGGTATTTACTAGACTAACTTATCTCAAAAGTAAACAATGAAAACTGGAAGATGCTTCGGTATTTACTAGACTAACTTATCTCAAAAATAAACAATGAAAACTGGAAGATGCTTCGGTATTTACTAGACTAACTTATCTCAAAAATAAACAATGAAAACTGGAAGATGCTTCGGTATTTACTAGGCTGAAACTTATCTCAGTAGTAAAAACAGTGAAAAATGGACAATGCTTCGGTATGTGCAAGACTAGGGAGACAAATAGCACAAAGTTAAGTGGTGAAGAAGACACACTTACTGACTGACAGGGCTGTATAGCCCTTGTGGCTTAGCGCTTCTTTTTGATTATAATGATAATAACTGACTGACAGGAACTTTTTCGAGACGTTTCACCTGTGGACAGGTTATTTAAATCAATGACTGGTTCGTCCACAAGCGAAATGTCTAGCTTGTCTTGTTTTTTCCACCATTCCTCGACCATCGTTAACTTACAAGTGGTGAAAATTTAAGGCCTCTTCAAGTGAAACGAGCAAGGTAGTGCTTAACCTTCACCAGGAAGACGTTTTGCGCTATGGAAAACTGTACAAATGACAACGTTTCACTTGGTTTAGAAAAATTTACAAACCCTGAAGGCTAACCCGCACTTATGACGACGTCTCGGGCCGTCCTGGACCACTGACAAGTCACAACTGGTCCAAAAAAGGACCGGAACGTCGCCATAAGGTTCTCAAACTGTCCCAGTCAGGTTATTTTGACCAGAAGACAAGGCTGGTGGGGGAGGGGCATCACCATCACCCACTGTCCGGTCCCAGATCAGTGTGATCTCTTCAGCGGTGTGTCATAACTTCCAGTTTATAACTCTTATGGCTATAATTATAACCTTAATTTTTTAAAGGGGTGGAGGGGTAGGCTAGTGGAAGGCCTCGGTCAGATGACTATAAGCTCAGGTGGCAGGTCACCATATGACTAAGACCCGCGTCAGGAAACACTTGTACTGTTTCCTGACCAGTCTTAACTTCCAGTGAGATGCATATTAAGTTTTGTTATAGATAAATTCGAGATAAGCTGTACTGAATGGCTTATCTTGAGTGTGTAAACAATATATATACATGTCTTTGAGGGGTACGAGACTAGACGTGACATTAAAGCTCTGGGATTGTTGGGAAAGAGAATCGTGTCACAGCTGGTGGCCGCTGTACAAAACATTCCATAGAAGTAATGTCTGTAAAATAAAGATAAAAGATAAAGATTTATTTCGTTGTAAAGGTTATAATGTGTAATTACAACTTTAGTTTGCTAAGTACAAAGAAAGCCACTATCATGCCGAGGCATTTCAGGCAGTCCTGTTGTAAGTCTCGTGGCTGAATGGTCACAGTGTTGGGCTTGTTATATGTAAGAACCACCGTTTGAATTCCTCTCCTCCAGCCTATTCTTACTACTAGATGTCAGTATTAATCTGTATGTCTGGAGGAATTTTTTCTTTACAAAAACTAATTTGCTTTCGTTGTCCTAAAATTGTCTGATTATATTTGTAACTCCATTATTGCGCCTTTATTTTTATTTGCGTGGGTAATTTAGTTATTTTCTGATTAAGGATGGCGTTATTTTTATGATAATTTAAAATATTTTTAATACAACATTGAGTAAATTATTTCTTTTGTAAAGTATTTTCTCTTCAGAGGAGAGTGTGATGGTGTGACGTGGCCCTCTTGTTCCTCGGATCATACCTGATTACCTCCCTTTCTCAAGAGTTGTAAGACTTAGAGACGGGACTGCAGTTAGAGCAGGGGTTCCTAACCGGGGGTATCCGTACCCCTTGCTAGTATGGGAACCAAATAATGAGGGTATGGGAACCAAATAATGGGGGTATGGGAACCAAATAATGGGGGTATGGGAACCAAATAATGGGGGTATGGGAAACAAATAATGGGGGTATGGTACTCCATCTCTGAACAATTTGGCCATTAGGCTATACTTCAGTCAGTGGTTAGAGTACTACAGACCTTCCCTCTTGGGTGGGGTCCTGAGCTTGAGTGCAGGAGAGGACCTCTTAGTAGGGGTACTACGCTTACTCTTCGACCCTCCGCTGCCCTTCTGGCTGGGCGAGCGTCGACGTAACTGCATAATGTCTTCAGGTGTGCCATGTAGTCAGCTGCTGTCTTACCCTTCTTGTCCACAACCTGGGCAGAGGAAGAGGATAAGGGCAGGTAGGGACGTGTAGGAGAGGTGAGACAGTACGCTACTGTCTTGCAGCAGAGGACAGGGATCAACGGGGGCAGTTGTGTGTGTATAGTAGAGGTGAGGATTGACGATTATTGAGATAAATATACTAAATAGAAACTTTTAAAAGGAGTATATGCGGGAAGATAAGATGTGTGATGGAATAGGTGAACTAAGAAGAGCGCGTAACAAAAGATAGAAACAATTTAAAGGCAGTATTAGAAGAGTAGTGAAGTTAAAGAGGGAGTTTATGAAGGGAAGACGTTGAATAGAGATCATTGGAAGTACACGCGTTGAGTAGGAAGATTATTGAAGGTACATGCGTTGAGTAGGGAGATTATTGAAGGTACATGCGTTGAGTAGGAAGATCATTGAAGGTACATGCGTTGAGTAGGGAGATTATTGAAGGTACATGCGTTGAGTAGGAAGATCATTGAAGGTACATGCGTTGAGTAGGAAGATCATTGAAGGTACATGCGTTGAGTAGGAAGATCATTGAAGGTACATGCGTTAAGTAGGGAGATCATTGAAGGTACATGCGTTGAGTAGGAAGATCATTGAAGGTACATGCGTTGAGGAGGGAGATCATTGAAGGTACATGCGTTGAGTAGGAAGATCATTGAAGGTACATGCGTTGAGTAGGGAGATTATTGAAGGTACATGCGTTGAGTAGGAAGATCATTGAAGGTACATGCGTTGAGTAGGGAAAATCATTGAAGGGACATGCGTGAGTAGGAAGATCATTGAAGGTACATGCGTTAAGTAGGGAGATCATTGAAGGTACATGCGTTGAGTAGGAAGATCATTGAAGGTACATGCGTTGAGGAGGGAGATCATTGAAGGTACATGCGTTAAGTAGGGAGATCATTGAAGGTACATGCGTTGAGTAGGAAGATCATTGAAGGTACATGCGTTTGTAGGAAGATCAAATTTAAGGTACATGCGTTGAGGAGGGAGATCATTGAAGGTACATGCGTTAAGTAGGGAGATCATTGAAGGTACATGCGTTAAGGTAGGAAGAATCATTGAAGGTACATGCGTTGAGTAGGAAGATCATTGAAAGGGACAAAGCGTTGATAGGAAGATCATTGAAGGGGACATGCGTTAAGTGGGAGATTTATTGAAGGTACATGCGTTGAGTAGGAAGATCATTGAAGGTACATGCGTTAAGTAGGGAGATCATTGAAGGTACATGCGTTGAGTAGGGAGATCATTGAAGGTACATGCGTTGAGTAGGAAGATCATTGAAGGTACATGCGTTGAATAGGGAGATTATTGAAGGTGCATGCGTTGAATAGGGAGATTATTGAAGGTACATGCGTTGAATAGGGAGATTATTGAAGGTGCATGCGTTGAATAGGGAGATTATTGAAGGTGCATGCGTTGAATAGGGAGATTATTGAAGGTACATGCGTTGAATAGGGAGATTATTGAAGGTGCATGCGTTGAATAGGGAGATTATTGAAGGTACATGCGTTGAATAGGGAGATTATTGAAGGTACATGCGTTGAATAGGGAGATCATTGAAGGTACATGCGTTAATAGGGGGATTATTTAAGGGGCTGCTTGAATGGGAGATTATGAAGGTCTGCGGGTAGGGAGATCATTGAAGGGACATCGTTGAATAGGGAATTATTGAAGGGACAGCGTCGAATAGGGAGATTAGAAGGTAAAATGCTTGAGTAGGGGATCATTGAAGGGAAAGCGTTAATAGGGGGATTATTGAAGGACATCGTCAAAAGGAGATTTTGAAGGACATGCGTTGAGTAGGGGGATCATTGAAGGGACATGCGTTTAATAGGGGGATTTTTGAAGGTACATGCTTGAATAGGGAGATTATTTAAGGGACATTCGTTGAAAAGGGAGATTATGAAGGTACATGCGTTTTGAATAGGGAGGGAGAACATTGAAGGTGCATGCGTTGAATAGGGAGATTATTGAAGGTACATACGTTGAATAGGGAGATTATTGAAGGTACATACGTTGAATAGGGAGATTATTGAAGGTACATGCGTTGAGTAGGGAGATAATGGAAGGTAAGTTTAAGTAGGGAGATCATGGAAGGTAAGTACGTTAAGTAGGGAGATCATGGAAGGTAAGTTTGTTAAGTAGGGAGATCATGGAAGGTAAGTACGTTAAGTAGGAGATAATGGGAAAGGGAAGTAAAGTTAAGTAGGGAGATCATGGAAGGGAAGTACGTTAAGTAGGGAGATCATGGAAGGGAAGTTTGTTAATAGGGAGATCATGGAAGGGAAGTACTTAAAATAGGGGGATCATGGAAGGTAAGTACTTAAGTAGGGATCATGGAAGGAAAGTATGTTTTAAATAGGGAGAATCATGGAAGGTAAGTACGTTAATAGGAACATGGAAGGTAAGTACGTTAAGTAGGGAGATCATTGGAAGGAAAGTACTTAAGTAGGGAGATCTGGAAGGTAAGTACGTAAGTTTGGGAGATCATGGAAGGTAAGTAACGTTAAGTAGGGAGATCATGGAAGGTAAGTACGTTAAGTAGGGAGATCATGGAAGGTAAGTACGTTAAGTAGGGAGATCATGGAAGGTAAGTACGTTAAGTAGGGAGATCATGGAAGGTAAGTACGTTAAGTAGGGAGATCATGGAAGGTAAGTACGTTAAGTAGGGAGATCATGGAAGGTAAGTACGTTAAGTAGGGAGATCATGGAAGGTAAGTACGTAAGTAGGGAGATCATGGAAGGTAAGTACGTTAAGTAGGGAGATCATGGAAGGTAAGTACGTTAAGTAGGGAGATCATGGAAGGTAAGTACGTTAAGTAGGGAGATCATGGAAGGTAAGTACGTTAAGTAGGGAGATCATGGAAGGTAAGTACGTTAAGTAGGGAGATCATGGAAGGTAAGTACGTTAAGTAGGGAGATCATGGAAGGTAAGTACGTTAAGTAGGGAGATCATGGAAGGTATATACTTTGAACGGAAAACGCTTGACACAGACATGACGAGTATACAAGAGAGGAGGTGTTTTAAGACATGATAAATGGCCTTTAAGACCTCATAACTATCTTGTAAGATCTACATCAAGTCTTCAACTGATACCACTACTGCAACTACTACTCCCGCTTCTACTCTACTGCTGCAACAACACCTACATTATTAGTTGTTGCTTTTTTTAGTTTTACATTCGAGTACCTTGGTTTCCAGTGTTTCATTAATAATGTCAGACGGAAGAAATAGGAAAATAGCCAGTTCTATAACTACTACCAGGGGCGGATCAGCTATGAAACTAATCAAGCTTAAGCTTCAGGGCTCCTAATCCCGGAGGGGCCCCAGAAGCGCCTTTAGTCCACAATTCTTAAAAGTTTAGGGTCTACTGTATGAGAACGGTTGCGAAGGGGCCCCCATAACATATTCAAGCTTCAGGGCCCCAAAAATGTAGGTCCTCCACTGACTACTACTAGAGCTGCTACTACTACTATTACTTATACTACTACTATTACTTGTACTACTACTGCTGCTACTTCTACTGCTCCTGCTGATAATATTACTGTTATTACTAACGCTAATGCTTCTTCTGTTACTACTACTACCACCACTTCCGCTGCTGCTGTGGCTGCTGCAACTATTTATGTCTTATCGCTAAACTCTCCTTTCCCCACCCGTGCCAGGAAGGATGGGTGAAGTGTATCATTCTGTTGCGTTATGAATAATGGCATGCCGTACCCAAAGGTAGATGAGTAAGATACATGTGTACGTGTATCTTACGTCCTACACGTGTCTTAAATATGTTCAAGACGAGTGGCACATGTGCTTTATTCTATCACCTCACCTGAGTATTTTCCATGACCTCACATAAGTTGTTATACATCTCGTCTGGTTGTCTACTAGCGGCGCAGTAGTGCAGTGGTAAACGTCCTTCCTGTAGGAGAAAATGAGCTTCAGACTACAGGTCTTACAATATATATATATATAATATATATATATATATATATATATATATATATATATATATATTATTTTTAATAATATAAATATATATATATATATATATATATATATATAATATATAAAATTTATTTTATATATATATATATATATTTTATATATATATATATAATATATATATATATATATTTTATATATATATATATATATTAATATATATATATAAATATTAAAATAAATATATAATATATTATAAAATAATATATTATATATATATATATATAAATATATATAATATAAATATATATATATTTTAATATATTTTAAATAATTTTATATATAATATATATTATATATATATAATATATATTAAAATATATAAAAAAATAAAATAAATAAAAATAATAAATAATATAAATATATATAATATAAAATATATAATATATATATATATATATATAGATACATATATATATATATATATATATAAAATTTTTTATGTATATATAATATATATATATATTATATATATATAAATATATATATATATTATATATATAATAAAATATATATATAATATATTATATATAAAAATTTATATATATATATATATATAATATATATTAATAAATATATATATATAATATATCATTTTAAATTATTGCCATCATCATTATATTCTCGTGGAAGCGTTAAACGCAAAAGGATTATACAGTGTCGGAGAAATAGGAGGCAGTCAAGTTTGATGTTGGGAAATGCGGGAGTTGCTGGCAAACTACTAGGCAGAAGAGTTATAGATGAGTGGAACAAACTCCCAGGTAGCGTAACTGAGGCAAGAACTTCGTGTAGCATTGAAAGTATAGGTTGGACGGTACATGGGTGGGTGTGAGATGGACCCGTCTAGCATAGGCTAGTAGGCCTTCTGAAGTGTTCATTATTATGTTCGTAAGACCTACGGAAGAATCAAAGTGCTCTTCCGCAGAGTGCTACCATCACCAGCAGGTTAGCAGTAAAAACAACCTTATAATCTACGAATGTTTTGTAATATCTTCCGTTCATTGATAACAAGACAACGTCACTGGTAATACCTATTATTTACATTCTAAACGACGGTATCATGGGATTTAAAGCCACAATCCTTTACGCCATGAGATAATACAGCAAAATTATCAGATTCTCTTTTCGTGCGTCACAGAGGAGCGGTAACTCAGGTAAAATCCCCTGATATATGTGCCACTCAGAGTCTTTTATTTAGAGATAATCTTCATAGGTATTTTACATTGTATTGCAAAAGAAGTCACTAGTGAGTAATGAATTGGCAAGGCTTAGTGTTATAAATGTATATTATGAGCGATAACTGGAAGTCTCAAGTAAAGAAAATTATTTATATTATAATTATTAGTTTTATTATATTTTATTAATATTATTTATCACTGTTATTAATTACTATTATTTCATGTGCTAAATCCATAAGGGTTATTCAACCCTCTGAGGACTGGAAGTAATCAAAGCTATCCAA